TATGCATTTACTCCAAATACAATGGTTAGATGGTTGTGGACAATGAAGTTAAGGTTGGGGTATAAAGGTAAACTAGTTCATATAAAGTGTTGTTTGACAGTCTAAAGCCGGCAGGCGTGTGTTGTTCCAAACGGCCTTACTGGGAGGTAGAACAAAAAGCCTGCTATGAAAAAAAGAGGCAACAGTTGTTCATCACTGTGCACTCCCTCTGACAGTCTCTCCTTCAAGGTATTCACAGTGTTACACGAAGGAAATACTTAATTTAAAAAAAACAGCATGAGAAGTTCAAATCCTTTCTCACCTCACACACCTGGCCAATCTGTGTGTAAAGTTGGCAAACTCATAACATGGGAATAGAAACACAGTGGATTTTTACCTCTTTAAGTAATATATGTTTCTGTTTAAGCACTTTTTCAAGCATTTCCTACCTCAATATTCTGAGGAGCTACTGAACCGGTACTGAGCAAGTTACTGATGGCACAGAAAACATCAACAATAGCATATTTCCTTACTCTAAGTAGTCCAACAAAAAAATAGGCTATATGGATAAAAGGGACACAGTATCCAGTGGTACGAGTGAGGCTTTGTGTTATTTGTGCATCCCCAGGTGCATTTATGCAGAATCTACACTGGTGTTTATGCTCTCTGGCAGCTTCTATCCTGTAAATTCAGTGTTTTCTTATTTTCTTGAATCTCGGTGTCCTCAAAGCAGAAACTAAGCCACTGTCAACCTGTGGAGGTAAAAACAAACACACTGTGCAGAGAAAGTAACGGCAGCTGCTGATTCTGAGGACAGACAGGATGGTAATCAGATCCTGTTAAGCCTGTATGTGTAAGGTTTTTGTTTTCTTGTCAGTGTGTGTTTTGAGCAAGCCAGCAGCAGTTGAGCTCGTTGCAGGTTTGAATACTCTAATGCCGTTCATCCTGCTGTAAAATTAATTCCATGCAACTTTCAGATTTGATTACAGAAAATCAGTTATTTATTACACAAATTAACATGTATGTGCATGTTAGCTTTCATATGCATGCACATATTCTGGCCCCTTGTTCTGAGCAGTTCCACCATAGAGGTTTCTCTTCCAAACCTCTTTTTTAATTTTCCTTTTCTAGGAATTTTCTCATAACCCCTCCAATTTATCTGGTGACACGTCAGTGGTGCCCAACGTTTTTTCCTAAAGGAACCCTTTTCTATGATTTAGTAAACTGATAACCCCTGATTAATAGGGCTGTGTATTGGCAAGAATCTGGCGATATTTTAAGTATCACGATACACAGGTTACGATTCTATATATTACGATACTGAACAGTTGCATCTATGACAGTAACGTCCAACTTCACAGCCCTCAGTTTAACAACAAAAATAAATAGTGTTTTTGAGAATCGATACAATATCACAAAACAAAATATTTCTTACAACCCTAATGATTAAGTGACATATTTTATGGATATTAATATTATATTCAATGCATAACATGAGAGCAACTGATAAACTGTACAATGAACCCAAACAGTAAACACAATAACTGCAGGACGTTTGTGTAAAATGAGAGGCTGTTTTTAAGAGAGTGAAGGCTCTGTGAAAATAGCTTAAAGTTTAGATCTTAAATAATAACCTGAACTTTAAAAATAACAATTTAGTTTAGTTTTATTCACACAATTTAAAGAAATGCTGAGATATAGACCTGTTGTATATATGTTATTTTTTAGGTTTTCCTACCTAGGTTGGGAGCTACTTCTTTGGACTACTTAAAACTTCTGTAGCTCCATCGTGAGCACTATAACAGTTAGATTTCAGATGGAATCACTATTTCAGTCCCAGAGAACATTTTTCTGAAGAGCAAGTACTTTTACTTTACTTTAAATACATTTAGCTGATAATAAAAATAATACTTCTGCACTTTTTATTAAGTAGAATTTTGAATGGAGGGCTTTTACTTGTAATGGAGTATTTTTACATTGTTGTTTTGCTACTTGTACTTCTACTAGGTTTACTACGTTTTGACAATAAGCTACATCAATCCAGTTGATATAGTATGTGGAGTTAAACTGGACAGCCCCAATAACCTCTGAATAGTTTTACTTGTTGTTAAATTGCAATGTGAGCGGCAGCCAACGGGGGTGCATTATGTCGGCAGGATCATTTAAAAGGCAACCGGGACTACATTGTGTGTCTGCCCCATTCCTGATACCGTGGCGGCAGAAATTTAACAGCGGTGGCCTGCCGCTCCAAAATCAACACAGAGGAAACTCTGCAACCTGTGTATCACCACCCAGTTTAGCGATGTTTATAGGAAGACATTGGTACAGACACTTTCCCTTGACTTAAATGTGCTGTCTAAGAGTTACCAAGTTTTTGCTTCACAAAGACATAAAAAATGATTTCACTGATCCACTTTCTGGTGTGTCTGAGCAACACAGCTCTACAAAATCTGAATGACCAAAAGTGTACTAGTAAAAGTAAATAAAATGAAAAGTTTTGAAGATAAATTATGTTTTAATGTCCTCCCTGCTTCAGACTTGTCCTAAGCAGGGAGGACATTGAAGGACATTGAAGGACTTTAATCAAGAAATTAATTCAGTCCAATTCCATTGTCCGCAGGGACAACCTTGAGTGACTTAAATGACCCAAGCCCATTATGAGAAGAGAAACAGAGGAGGTAGCAGATACATGTAGACCTTTCAAATTTAGGAAGAATTGGATGTTAGATTTGCTTATAATCCCCTTCTTACTATTAACGATGAAACAAACACCAAAATTAGCATATAAATGGCAGATTGATGATGTTTGATGGTAAAATCCCTGGATTTTGTTTGTATCTCCAGAACTAACATAATGCTCTTTATTAAATCTGACAGTGGGGTGTTTCAAATCCACTAAAAGCAGAATGTTGTATAGCTCATCAGATACTGCAGATCAGTCAATATGCCCCATTGTCTCTCAGCATGGTGTTAGTAGAACACTGACAACCACTCTACTTCATGGCTTGTAAATGGCCCCTGTCACATGAAATATAAATCTGATTCGGTGCCCGTGTGCACTCTGAGCTAGGATCCTCACAGGGCTTTCGTGTGTGCATGTACATGGAAAAGACCCTGGAAAAGTATCAGTAGATTCAGAAAAAACATTCGACATGGCTAGTAACAGCAGCACCACCAAGAGAAAATTGGTTCCAATTCAACTGCACCTCTTCCTCTCTGCACTCCACAGGCTCCCCAATAATAGCAATGTGATGAGTCTTACAATTGGGGATAAAGGCATGCACTTTCACAATTTCTCCTTGAAGCTATTTATGGTGAGTGATTCACCTACTTCACTGCCTTCAAAGGTGGTGAAGTATTCATGTCACAAATGACAGCCACTGGTATCTGAAGTACTCCTTTCTCCACTTTAAATTCCAATTTAAAAGTTTGCTTTTAATCATGTCCTTAGTGTTCCTCAACAAAAAAAACACAGGGTCTCTGGGAGAATTTAGTTATGTTAAAGGTTTATCCTATGGACATCACCGGTTGTAATTATTTCAACTTTGGTTCTGAGAAATCATGTTTTTCTCTTTGTCTGAGTTTGCATGTCTAAATACGACAATATCTATCCCATGAGCAAATTCGTAAACTTCTGTGACCAAATAAAGGATGGGAACTAATAAGATTTTATTGATACCAAAACCATTATTGATTCTGCTTATTGGTCTAGTTCTTTCCTGATCAATTTTCTGATCAACACAGGTTTTCAGCATCAACACAACGGTTTTATTGTATCTGAGTCTGAACACTGAAGAAAAAAATATAGTATTTTGCGTTTCTTCATGAAATGAGGCCACCACCATGACTCTTGTTGCCAGTTTCCAGCAGCATCTACATTGTTTCTCAATGCGCAACTGTCAGAAAAACGTGCTTGCATTGATGAAAGGAACTGATAACCTTGGTGGCAGTCTCAGGTTATGAGACTGCTTTATTTATCTTCAGCACTGTATGTAAAGTGTGTTTTTGTGAGCAGCATAAAGCGAACTACAACTTGCTATACAACATATAGTGGTAAAATGATAAATAAAACTACCTTCAACCATGAAAAGTGACCCTGTTGCCATGAGCGTAATTCTCATCGTCAGCTCACTGCTGGCAGTTGATTGGACGTCTCTTACCAAAATCTCCTTGGGAGTCGTAGGTGACTTCTCTTCCTCAGTTTTATCAACACATGCTTGTACCTTTGATGTTTGATCAAAAACCAGATGTAACACAGACAGCTGTTCATCTTCTGTACTGATGATTTAACTATTTTCCTGCTCATCTAAGCCTTGGGCGTGCTCTAAAAGAACCACAGTTCTAGGCAGGCACTTTCAAAAAATACTTGAGGTGATAGGATGAACCATCTATCTATTAAAAAGCAAACTTCGACTAATCAGATAAACCATATAACCTAGTTAAACTCTTATCGAAGACAGTTGAAAGACAAGAGAAAACATCTTTCCCATGGAGAAAAGCCTTCAGTGCCGTTGTTTGCTCTTCTTTCAATGAAGAAATACTCTCCAGTTCTAATAAAACTGATCCTAGCAACATCTATCTCTTCATCAGCCACCATTGTTGTTTTCGAGCAACCAGTCACTTCTCGCACACGTTGTCACACAAACCTAACATTAAACCACACGCGTAGCTCACACCGTAGCTGCCAGTAGTTCCTCAAAGGACACTGAGGACACAAGCATAGCTTGAGTCCAGCTGCCTTGCAGATTAGGTCTTATTTATTGTCACTTAACATTATCTATTTCGAAAATATGTGGATCTCACTTCTGGAAACTTAGGGGCCAAAAAAAAACCTCCTCCCACTTTACTATTCTATAACACCGGTAGAGTCCTGTCCTGCCCACTTTCACACCTAAGCACACCAGTGGAACAGGTGCAGAACAGAAAGTTCTCCATTTACATGGAGTCTTAAGATACATTTTTTAACAACAGACTATGGTTATAAAAGACTGAGCTTTGTTGCTGCTGGTATAGAACAGTACCTGTCCATTGAGAGCTGGGCGACTAGGGTGACGTCAGTGCTGTCAGAGCTGGGTTCATACTCATAGTGAAGGAAGTAGAGGTGAGTTCGGTGGACGGTGAAACGCTCTCGACGAAACTCGTAGCAAGGATCATCTTCGTCTAGTTCTGACAGAGTCTTCTGGAGCTGCAGGCAGAGAGGAGAGGAACACCAACAGTAAGCTATTTTATGTACCAGGAGGTTAAAGATGATGCTGCAGACTTTGATTGTTGCATCAGAGTCTGTAGCGTCCACAGACGTTCTGTCTGGAAAACATCCTTCTGCACCAAGATCAAAACAGGGCTAAACCAAACAGATTGTAAATCACTTCACATATGCAAAAGTGTACCAAACTGCATTTATACAGTGCTTTTATCCAAAGCACTTTATAATTTGCCTCTCAATCACCCATTCACATAGAGACTCACACACAGATGGCAGTGAGCTACCATGCAAAGCCTAACCATCAGGAGCAATTTGGGGTTCAGTGTCTTGCTCAAAGGCAGGGTAATTATCATATATTATCATATATCATATCTATGTGAAGCTGGATTCATTAAATCATTGTTTGCTCACATTCATAGTGTTTTAAACCTTCAATCTTTACACTGCAGAAGCTGCAACAAAGCAAGAAAAGTTTGTATGTGACATGACATTAATTTACATTTTGAGTAACTACTTAGAAAAGTGAGGAAATAATCATGGTTTGGATTAATAGCCACTACTCTGATGGCAGAAATGGACTCCAGTGTTAACTGATCCATCCAACCCAAACTTCTCACTACAAGGTTTTTAGGGTGTATAATAATGTCAGCTTTCCAGAGGTCGAAAAAGTACACACTCATTTACTCAAGTAGAAATACAGATACAGATAGAGATACTAAAAAAACTGATTCAGCTTCTTTACTCAAGTAAAAGTGAAATTCTAAAAGTAAAAAGTACTCGTCATGTTACGCTTGTCATGTGTGATATGCACCGGTGTTGATGTTGGGAAGGCACGCACTGATGCAAAATAATAATAATTGATAATGCATTTGTAGCGCCCCTAATGCTTACCCAAAGGAAGTAATAGTAGAGCAACTAACATCTACCTAGGTCCGAGGTGCGGTGCCTTTAATAACTCAGGACGAGTTAGTTTGGGGATTGAACAGTTGACAGTATTTATTGCCTCAGGCAATCCAACAATATGATCAGCAATTCACATGAATGAAAATAAAAATACAAAATCATATAGAGCTCTCTCAGTTGTACAAATAATAAAAGAAAACAAATAGTCCTTTAAGGAGTCAGGTATTGAGTTCAGAGTTCAAGGTTCAGTTCCTGATCCTTGTACGTGTGTGCACTGATTATACTACTACTACCCGGGTAGAGTTAATCGTGTGTAAGCAGTCTTATCTGTTCCTGAATGTGCAAACTAATAATAATAATAATAATACATTAAATTATTAGAGGCGCCTCTCTGGGCACTCGAGGACACCGTACAACACAAAAAAAAAAAAAAAACAGCAAGAAATAAGAAACAGATAAGAAAGATAATGTAGATGGTTAAGTGGGGTAGGCAGTTCTGAATAGGTGAGTTTTAATCTTGATTTGAGAGTGTGAGAGAGTCCAGGTTCCTAGGTCCGTTGGTGAGTTCCAGAGTTGGGGGCAGAGCGACTGAAAGCCCTGCTCCCCATGGTGACGAGGCGGGCGGGAGGGACAGAGAGGTGGACAGAGGAGGCAGATCTGAGGGAACGGGAAGGGTTGGCATGTGAGGAGTTCGGACAGATAAGGAGGGGAAGGTTTGGATGGCCTTGAACGTAAACGGGGATTTTAAGTCAATGCGGAGTTTTACCGGAGCCAGTGGAGTTGCTGTAGAACAGGGGTGATTGGTGGATAGGGTTCTGTGATTATTCGGCTGCGAGTTCTGAACCAGTTGAGTTTATGGAGGTATTTGTGAGGTAGACCGAAGAGAAGGGAGTTGCAGTAGTCGATGCGGGAGGTGACAAGGCTGTGTACAAGGATGGCAGTGGAGTGGGGAGAAAGGGAGGGGCGGAGTCGATTAATATTGCGTAGGTGGAAATATGCAGACCGGGTGATGTTATTGATATGCGATTGGAAAGATAATGTGCTGTCGAGGATGATGTCCTCTGTAGTTGGTCGTGCGGCAGGCCTCACCGCGTCCCCGACCTTCCACAGTCACTCTGGGCTGGGCTCGCCATCATTGGATCCACAAGATTCTTTCTGATAGCTCAAAAAACCAACCGGAGTTTCAACACTAATAACTTGACAGAAGCTGTCGTTCTCGGGTTCACAGTTGCAACTCAGCAATTGTTCACAGCACGTTTTCAGGATGTTTCAGGAAGAAGCGATCTCTGGCAACTGACGAAAAGGCTGCACGTAACATTCTCTACCAATCCTGATAGAACGTTATATGGTGCTCTAGTGGGCTGCGCAGCCTTGTGGTATACATCTGTAGCCATCTTGGGCCAATAAAATCTTGACCGGACCAGTTCGAGAGTTCTGTCCAGACCCATATGCCCCATATCATCATGGAGACATGTGAGAATGGAGGCTCTTAGGGGCTCAGGAACCACAAATTGGTAAGTTCTGTCATCTTCTGATCTGCGGGTTCTGTAGAGAAGACCATTTTTCTACTCAAACCGTTTCCATTCTTTGAGCATTACCTTTAGCTCCAAGGAGTAGGGATTGAGGATGGGTTTTCCTTCATCTCCAGCCTCCAACAAGATGACAACTTGTCCAATGACTGGGTCAGACCTCTGATGTTGTTGGAGTTCTGTCTCACTGTAGGAGGGTATAGTAGGACAACCCAGTGCTTCTTCATCCCCATAGACATCAGGTATCGCATCAGTGTTAAGAGCAGGGGATTCTTCTATGTGATTGAAGGTAGATTGTTGTCGGCTTCACCTAAGAGATGGCGGTGGCACAAGACATTTACTGTGTCAGCTGGTATGTCTTGTTGATCAGGAGACGAAGGCAAATGGTGGGAAGCAAACTGTTTGATTCGCTCTCTTTCTTCAAGAGAAACAGGGTCAACGGCCAGAGTGTCATGGGGCTGTCTGAAAAGGCCATCTGTGTCTTGGTTGCTTTTTCCAGCACGATACTTGATGTTAAAGTCAAAGGTGGAAAGAGCAGTTAACCAGCAATAGCTGGGAGCATCAAGCTTAGCTGACTTTAGTACAAAGGTCAATGGGTTGTTGTCTGTTACAACCGTGAATGTGTTTCCATAGAGGTAATCTTGAAATTTTTCTGCAATGGACCATTTCAGAGCTAGAAATTCTAGCTTGTGTGCTGGATACTGCTTTTCACTGGTCGAAAGCCCTCTGCTGGCATAGGCGATTACTCGCATTTCACCATCCTGTTCTTGGTACAGGACAGCCCCTAAACCAGAGGTGCTTGCATCTGTGTGGAGAATGTACAGTAATTTTAGATTAGCAAATCCATGTATTGGAGAGGAAGTGAGCTTTTCTATGATGGCCTCAAAAGCTTCCTGGCAAGCAGGTGTCCATCGGTCAGCAAAGGTTTCCTTGGGGTAGAAATATCCTCCAAGGCATAGTGTTCCTTTTTTACCCTTCTTGTAAGGTGGGTCACCTCCAGTAAGGCCATTCAAGGGTTTTACTATTTTGGAATAGTCCTTTACAAATCGTGCGGAGGGCACTGACCTTATCAGGGTCAGTCTCTACCCCTTTGCTGGAAACAATGTGGCCTAAGTAGCGCACTGAACTTTGGAAGAAGCGGCACTTTGTTGTAGAGAGTTTCAAGCCATACTTGTCATGGCTCTGCTCCTCTCCTGCTCCCTTTGCTCCTCCTCCTTCCCTGTGTGTGTCTGAGGGTGCGGTCTCCAATCACCTCACCTGTGCTTTGCCTCACCAGCTCTCTATCACCTCGTTAGTCTCAGCCCTCCACCAGTTCTCCAGTCCACCCGTGCAGTTCGGGTCCCAGAGTCAGCTCTCCAGTGTTTCCGTGTCTCCGGTCTGCCTGCTGATTCTCCGGCCCGCTCCTGCTGAGGCCGCCCCTCATCTCCCCCAGTGCGTGTGTGAAATAAAGCCCCATCTAAACTGTCCATCTTGTCTGTGTCTGCTCCTAGGTCCAACCTAAACACTACATGTCACAATACTCCCTCAATTGCTGGAGGACGTGTAGAAACCTGGTTCCATGTTCTTCTAATGTGCTTGAAAACACAATGACATCATCCAAGAACACTAGTACTTCCTTCAGATTAAGACTGCCCATACATCGCTCCATCAATCGTTGAAAGGTACTGGGCGCTTTGGTGATGCCTTGGGGCATGCGATTAAAATCCCAAGGGGCACACAAAGGCAGTTTTAGACTTATCACGTTCCTCCATCTCAATCGGTAGTAACCAGACTATAATACTGCAACTACACCTCTTGATAACATGAGTTTTCAGTAGCCCTATATTTCATATGGGTTACACATTACAACTAAAATAACAATCCTGTTTTTAGTGGAAAATTAAAAGAACTGATATTTGTGTAAAAATGTAGCGGTAAAAGTAACAAATTCAAATGAAAAATAAATAAATAAAGTACAGATACCTGAAAACTTAAGCACAGTAACAAAGTATTTGTATTTGTACTTCCCATCTCTATAGTCTTCGCTTCTGACACACGAATCGTGACTCAGATTACCACTAGAGGTCTTTGTCAGTAAAAACCTGCACCTTACTTTAGTACATTTGAATGGATAACAACTGGTAATATGGTTAATAGGGTTAGGGTGGTCATTCTGGAGCAGCATGGGTTAAAGGGGAACTTTGGCAGATTTTTACCCTAGTCTTGATCACTAGAGGTCACCGAGTACTGCCGATAGGAAAACAATTTCTTCTTCTGCGTTTATCTGCAACAAGTGAAACAAGCGGGACTGCTCTCTCGCTAAAGTCCCGTGGGATTAAACGCAGAATAAGAAATTGTTGTGGAAAGTATGCAAATCGGAGAGTAGTGTGTGAAGACATGGAAATTTTTTAGGAGGAAATAAACTTTTTTTTTCGTCGTGAAGGCATTATCTCCGTGATCAATAATTCTGGGCTTTCGGTGAAGCGAGCGGTGGAAAAACAGGTAGGCGACACTACTGTTTTGTACAGTTTCTGCACAACGTATGAGTTGAAAAGGCATGTTGTTGTCACGTAAGGGCCCTGATCATGTTGCACAGACATTTTAATTGCATTTTGTGTCTGTTAAGAGGAGCAAAAGGCACTCTTTAGGATATGCCCCCAAGAAGTGTATTATAACTAACTGGGAGCTCTGGCCATTAGCTGCAGGATCTCGAGTTTGCTAGAACCAATTCTGGTCGTTCTTTTTCCTATCGACAGTACTCGGTGACCTATAGTGATCTAGACTAGGGTAAAAATCTGCCGAAGTTCCCCTTAAAGTTTTTGATGCAGACCCGGGTCTCTAATCCTACAAAAGTAAATTTAGCAGCAAGCGGTTACAATTTAATGCAAATAAAATGCAGTTTTACAATTAATTCACCCTGATTATCTCTTGTCAACTGTATGATGAGATGTCACACACAAACAGTGATAGAGGATTGGCTGAGCACAAAGCTAGAGCCTTCTGCACACTGTGTACACATACTGTAGAACTGATGTGTTAATAGATCAACACATCAATTGAAGTATGAATGGACGTCAGCAATCTGTCCACAGGTCTATATAACTTGATTTCAGTGAAGATGAGCTCCACACACTGGAATCACTGAAGCGCAGTCATTTTGCCTTGGGGAACAGCAGAAAGACTTGGCTGAAGGGCTGTCAGCAGAGGACGTGGTGTGTGGCGTCACTCTGCTTCCAACAGTGTGATTAGTGGAGTTGCAGTGAGTGACTGGGCCGCAGTGGCACTGTGGCCCTGTGGCCCAGAAGGAGCCCGGATCTGCAATGTACTGCTGGAGCCAATCCCTCAGTGACTTCATTAGTCTAATCATCACTTTAATGGGATTTAAATCGCTGCTCAAACTCTGAAAAATTGAGTGAGCAAACTATTTCCTGAGTTAAGGACACATTAGTATTGAGCGTTGGCAAAAAAAGGCTGGGGCACACCATGATGGAAAATTATAATGTGATTAACTGACCACAGAGCTGACACTTAAATAATTCTAAAGCTCCACAGTGGCTGGTCCTGTAAAAAAAAACTCCTGACCATGGTGACCTTGAGCAGGTTAGAAGCATCAACTGCTCAATGATAGAACAGTAACATAGAGTCTATACAGTATGCTGGATCTCTGTCTCTAGAGATTCTGTGTCTTTTGCAGTCTTGACATGGTAAGTTGTACACAAGGCCATTCAAGACATTCATGGATTGGCTCTCAGTTGTACAAAGGACTGTGTCTTCCCTAACCCCAAATTTACACCAGACTCAAGATGTCAGTGGTGTGTATGTGCTAACTGTCCCCAGAACCAGCTGTTCCTTTAGCAGCACAGCTCCTGAGGAGTTGAAAAAACAGTAGCCAGACAAACTGTCCTCACCAGGTTCTGATACAGAAATTCCATGGACAAAAAAGGTTTTCAAGAAGGCTCAATGAGGGCTATATAGGAAGAGTGCTGTGTGAACCTATCATGAAGCCACCAACTAGTTTGTGGAGTACCATTTTGAAGCCTTAAGTTTGGCATTTTGGTTGTTGCCACGACAGTTTGTCAGAGCCAGCGGAGGTGACATACTGTGAGTTGAGCTGCTCTAATTGGTTGCACAGTTTCGTTTTATCCGTAGCAGGAAACAATGGCAGCTTGCCTGGTCACACGTCCTTATTTACAGATAAACAGCACACTAAAATATGTGAAAAGATCTGAGGAGAGAAATAGTCAACGCAGTAACATAATCTTGATCCATATTTGATCAGCACTGCCTAGTTTGACAGTTTGATCTGAGTTTACATTCGTAGATTAAATCTTGATTTTGTGATGAAGCAGTCTTTTGCAACATAATTTCCAATTATCGATTTATCACCCAGCTCGAGCTGTACCTAATTTTTAGAGCCAATGTTGGCATGCTAAAATACTAATTTAAAACTAGGTTTATGCTTGATACAGGGGTAAAAGCAGCAGCTACGGCGTAGGTTTTGATTTGTAGTTCAGAGCTGGGTTTCAACTACAACTACAACTTCTCGCCTCTGATTGGCTTCGTTCTTGTAAATACCATTAGGAGCACTAGGAGGATCCAGAGGAACCTGATTTTTTCACAGATTATCTGTCTCATTTAATACTGCCAGGATATAGGGAGAATTTCAGCATATATGACAAAAAGTTACCTACTGCAGCTTTAAGCAATCACTGTAGCTAATAGTTCCCATGTCACAACAGTAAGTAGGACACCCATGGAGAGTATGCTCCTCTAGGTGTGCAGCAGAAAAAAAGTGTAAAAAAATGCATGTAATGATGTGCGGTCCGTAGTATATCTGTTAAATGAGACAGATAAGTGATGGTCATATAAAACGCTACACAAACACTTCAACAAACACTGGCTGAGTGGATTACCCATAAGCATCTGCTTTTAGCCACTGAGCTCTTCTGAGTAAATACATAAGAAAATACCAGTGTCAAGTGTGGACAGGGACAAGGTTTACAGAAAGGGTGATGTGTGATTGTAAATCCTCATGTAGTCTACAATCAGTGAAGTTTAAGAGCCAGTTTCTGTCTGTAATTTGAGCAGCAGTTGTCAAACAAAAGAAACAAAGATGTGACAATGGCAGCACCTGTACTGTAAAGATACACTGCAATCACAGGTAGAGTGAAAGGTGACACAACAGAGTGGTACCTGCTGAGGCCGAGCAGAGTGAGAGGCTGTTTTTGTCAAAAACAGTCTCCGGATCCAACCACATTTATCACCAGACAGTGGCAGTAAAAGACAATTACGTTGTTTGGGCGACAAAGCAATTTGCTGCTGATTTGGAATCTCCGAGTGGATGGTCAACTGTGGGATAAAGCCTGCAAGAGATCAGGTATCCTGTTGAATGTTAAAAGCAGGTTTTGTTTAGTTTAACCATGTTCTTGGTCTCTTACAGGCAGAGTTTGATTGACGGAGTGGATCAGCAGGGTCCAGAGTTCACCTCATTAACTCCTCCCTCCAACATGTTCGTCCCACCTGGATGGAAATTAAGCATCATACTCCATCAGACAGACTCTGGTTAGGACTTTGTTGGAGTGTCTCAGTGTGGAGTTTACATAAGCTCCAGTACCCATAGTTAAATAGTAATGTTGTATTTTACAGTTTACTTCCTTAGAAACTCTGCCATAAAGAGAATGAGAATTCAATATACCATAAACCAAGGGTGATCTGGACAAATGTAATTTAAAGTAGGCTGCACAAGACATGATTGACAGCTCTCTCCTCAGAAAACGAAGGCACCTTCTACACCTGATTGGACAAACAATCCACAGACACAGCAAAATCTTTATTTTGATAAATGAGGTTTACAGAAATATGCAGATTCATGCTTCATTTCTATCTGAGGCCTAAACAGATATGGAGGCTGGAAAGATTCTGTGAGGCTATGAGTGATTCCCACAATTTTCTGACAGCTTTAGATTCCAGAGATTTACCTGATTCAGAATGTTATATAATGTACCTTTTTTTAATCATTAGGGGTATAAAAACCTTTGCCATGATACGACACAATTGACAAGTAAGGGCACATTTCAGTATTTGGCTATGCAAAATCGGCTATGGTACAATGTAATACAGTTTATTTCAGTAAAAGTATTCTTAAGAAATGCTTATAATGGATATGATAAAAATATCTATGACTGCTTTCTAGGGAGCTGTGCTTGGGCTGAAATTCCACTTTGGGGCCAATCATTTGCCTTGACTGATCAGCCTCATCGTTTGTATCTTCAGGGAAGATCTACATTGTTTCTGAAGTTTGATATTCTGGCATCTTATCAGGGTCCTATTAAGTAACATTACCAAAACTTGACAAAATTTAGAGAGTATCAGTTTCTTAGAACTTCAGTTTTCTTAAATTCTTCTCTTTTACAGAAGTCCAAAGTTTAGTACTTTCAGTTGCATGATGTAGGATCACTGGATCATCACCCTCTCAATGTGCAGAACTAGAATGAAGCAACTTTACCAACAGTTCTTAAATACAGAAATAGGAATCAGACCTTAAAAGCTCTTGAGTGTCGACAAAACTCTGTCAATAAAGTACTGAAATGTGTCACGTATTGAACACTGGCTTCAGTTGCTTAGTCGGATTCCTAGGGTTGTTAAGTTATTCTTTGATAGGAAACCAAAAAAAAGTGGACAAACATTTTTTTTTATCTTTCTCTGGAACATTAACAAGTGTTGCTACAGAAACAAAAACAATAACAAAAAAAGAATTCTTATACCCAGTCAATGGGAAAAGTGGAGGGAGCCAGGAGCCAAAAGGAAGGAAGGAAAGTTTTCTGACTTGATACTGCTGACTTGCGCTGCTGCTTCAAAGACATCTTGGTAAAGTGCATCAGGAAAACATATAAAGAGAACTGGATACAGTGTTGGAGGTGGCGCTTCAGTGGCGCATGAAGCCAAAAAAGCCAAGAAAAGAAAGAGTTTCGGTTAACTTCTCGTTTAGCCCTCCGTTAACTTCAATGGGAATAAAATTATTTAATCGTGGATGCTTTTACCAGCATAGTCAGGCCATCTCAGGCCCTAGACTCACAAGCTTCTGAACTCTATCACTCGATTACTCGATCAATAGCGACTGAGGACTTTCTTACAGTTTTTGTTGATAAAACTAGGTGGAGTTTTTAAAAACCTACACTACAAACAATGTCATACAATAAAACGTTGCTCGGGATATCCATTTTCATCCATGCTACAATGTGATTGGCTATATCTCCAGTTAGTTTCACTACTGCGGAGAATGGGGGCCAAGAGACGTTTCAGGTAAGGCGTGTCCGATCTCCCTGCCATTCAAGCAACTACATTCCCAGACAACAGCTGACTAAGCTCTAGTTTACCACCAACCTTCATATCATCAGCACTAAACAGACACACATACAGAAGCAGTTCCACCTACGTTCTCACTGTTGTGGTCTGCCTCGCTGGGACAGCCGAACAGCTCTCTTCGCAGCAGGTTGCCATCGTACTCCAGAAAGGTTAGATAGAGATTCCGGAAAAACTCCACGTGCTTATTCTTCACTCGTAGCTTCTTTGGAGAATTCCAGTGAATCACCTGGGCAGAAGAACCACAGAGAGGGTACTGTTGTCAGATAAATCTATTGTAATGCACAGACCAGTAAACCAGCTGCATTCCACTAAATCATAAACTACATCATAAACCCTTAAGTCTAAAAGTATCTATCTACATAAAAGAAGGACATCCAAGGTTATAAAGTTTTCTACAACCACTTGCAGTAAGAAGTTAACCATGAAGGATATTCAAGTTTAATGACACACATTTAATGATGTCAATTACAGCATACTTGCTTCAGTGATGCACACACTACACTACACTTTATTTACTAAGACATTACTATTTTTCTGGACACTTTTTTGTATTTCAGGTACTTCAAACTGTTCAACTAGATTTGTATATATCTTCATTAGTTTTTAAATATTCTTTTTTAAAATATTTAATAATTTATTAATAATGATAATAATAATAATACACAATAACATATTGTGTAATAAAATAATTTATAGTAATTAGCAATTTATATATATACTTCAACCTTATTCAGTGGACCAAGAAGAAGCATCTCTTTTTCACCCCAACTGGTCGAGGCAGACGACCACCCACCTAGAGCCGGAGGATCTGTCCTAGGTTTCTGCCTTTTAACAGGCAGTTTTTCCTTGCCCTTGTCGCCAAGTGCTTGCTCATGGTGGTACTGTTGGGTCTCTGTAATTAATGTTTTAAAGAGTTCGGTCTAGACCTGCTCTATTTGAAAAGTGTCCTGAGATAACTTCTGTTATGAATTGGCGCTATACAAATAAAATTGAATTGAATTGAATTGAATTTTGCAGGAACTTCCTGATCGCATTCACACTGTTACACATTCATATCTGGAAGCTGCCCAGTACAACCACAATTTTGGGCTTGGGGTTCAGGGCTTTGCTGAAGGGCACCTCAGTGGTGGTGATGAGGGTGGGGCAAGTCCTTCTTCCTAACTTTCACCACCCAGATTTATTCTGCTGTTCCGGGGAGTGAAGCAGTCCTTCCGGTCACAAGCTTGTATCTCTTCTTCTATGCCCATTCTGTGCACAGATTGTCTATACCTACTCAAATTTTAACTTCAACTACTTCCACATACCTTTGGCAGCATCCTTACGAAGTATGATACTTTCAGTTTCAGCAGTTTCAGTTTTATGCTTCAAGTACAGTGAGGAATTCCAGTATTCAAGTCTAGGAGCTTTGCAGGGTTCCCACTCTTTTCAAGAAATTATTTTCCAGGACATTTCCTTGACAAAACAGTCAAGCACTAGGTCTAGTTTTTACAAATTTAACCCCAGTTTCATTCGCCCCTTTATAATGATGCAGACTTTGTGATGTTAATTACAGGTAGGTGGTCAGCGTTTTAGGGACACCCGGCAAATTGTCAATTGTTTACTACATTAATTTGAACATGTATATAGCCCAAATTAATATATGTATACATGTATATATGGGACATGGAATGGCGCCTGTTACAACGGCAGCCTGTTATGGCAGCTCCTGTAATTGTTGTAGTTTTAGTGTGTTTTTAGCCTGTGTTTTTCTCTATTTTTAACTGTTTTCTTACTTTCTTACTTTGTTACTACTTTTTTCACATCGCCGAAATGCTTTTTCTGTGTTTTTGAGCACTTTTTATTTTTTGTTTGCATTGGTCTCCATGGCGACGGGGAGTTGCATTGTTTACACCCACGACCTACAGAATGGAGGATGAAGAAGAAGAGGAGGTTTAAACTCTACATCCCTGCAGTCATCACAGGAAACGTAAGGTCGCTGGCAAATAAAGTGGACAAACTGGAAGCCCTCACCAGGACACAGAGGGAGTACAGGGAGTGTAGTATCATGTGTTTCATGGAAACGTGGCAACACAAGCAGATACCGGACTCCAACATTACCATTCCCGGCTTCCAGACGGTTCGAGCCAACGGACACCGCCGCGACAGGCAAGAAGAAAGGAGGGGGACTGGCCACACTCATAAACAACAGGTGGTGTAACCCCGGGCACGTCTGTGTGAAAGAGTGTCTGCAGCCCGGACATCGAGCTTGTCGCCATCGGACTTCGTCCATATTATCTGCCACGGGAACTTTCCAGTGTTATCGCCATCACTGTCTACATTCCTCTGTCTGGGAAAGACGTCATCCACACTGTGACTGCAGGACTACAAACGAAACACCCGGAGGCCTTCATCATAATCACAGGGTACTTCAACCACGTTTCTCTCTCATCCACACTCCCTTCCACCAGTTTGTTACATGCACCACCAGAGACAATAAGACCTTGGACCTGCTGTACGCAAATGTTAAAGATGCGTACAGCTCAACTGCCCTGCCACCACTGGGCAGGTCAGACCACAACCTAGTCCGGCTCTCACCATCATACAAGCCTGTGGTTCAGAAGCAACCAGTCACAGTGAGGACAGTGAGGAAATGGTCTCCTGAGGCCATAGAAACACTGCGTGGAGCGCTGGAGGCCACTGACTGGGATGCTCTGTATGTTGTGGTGTTGGGGTGTCTGGAGGGCAGAGAGGAGGCTGAGTACAGGGACCTGGTCGATCACTTTGTGAAGTGGTGTGGGGAGAACCACCTGCAGCTGAACGTGGCAAAGACAAAGGAGATGGTGGTGGACTTCAGGAGGAACAAGCCCCTGCCCTCTCCTGTCAGCATCGGTGGGACAGATGTGGATATGGTGTCGGGGTATAAGTACTTGGGTGTCACACTGGACAACAAACTGGACTGGTCCACTAACTCAGGCCATCTACAAGAAGGGCCTGAGCCGGCTTGCGGGCATCAAGGCAAAGGACGCCAACAGACTTAACAAACTCATTAACAAGGCCGAGTCTGTTGTTGGCTCTAAGCTTGTCACCCTGGAGGAGGTGGTGACTTTCTAATAATAATTGACTCTTAATCAGCTGCTATAACATTATAATTTCCCTTCGGGGATAAATAAAGTATTTATATCTATTTATCTATCTATATGACCATCTGCAGCATTTTCATTGGGCTTCTCTGAGAATGTTGCTCACGGCTCTGGAAAAAGACTTGACGCTGATAAGGATAATGCTGTATCCCTAGGTTTATGTAGGCGATCTGAGTCAGGAGCTAAAATACAATGAAACATTTCCAGGACAACATAAATTACTTCCAGGATATTTGGTCATTTTAATTAATTTCTAGGTGTTTCCATGACTGGAAAACTACTCTCTAAATTTTTAGATTTTCCAGGATACGTGGGAACTAAAGTTTGGATGTGTATTTGAAACATTACTTTCAAATGTATCAGCTTTTCAGCGAAAACAAAAAAAACGCAAAAAATAGCAGCACGTGGGTGTTTGACAGACCACTCAACAACAGGTTCAGCCTGAGAGAGCTTCCAAAGATAAACAAAAATTAACTGCAGGGCTCCGGAGTGCAACCAATAAAAGTGCGACTAATAATTTTTCTAGGTCACACTGGTGCACCTGATGCTGCAAGCGCATCATCTCTCTTAGTTCTCCTGTGACCGAACTCACACACTCATGGTAGGATCATATCGTGTTCTAAACCAATAAGAGACCGAGCTCGGGCGGGTCTTTGCCTCTAATTGGCTGTGGTCCTGTTCAAGTTGCGTGTGTTTAAAAATTGCCGAGTCCCGGTCCTTCGGCGACAGCATCAGACTCGGAACCAGAGGAGGGGACAACCGAGTCTGGGATAGAGCCCGGCTCCAACAACGTTTCGTATCAAACTTTTATTTGGAAATGTTTTATTTTGCTTAGTGTTTTAGTTTGAAATGTTCAATTTCAGCTCAGTGAAGCAATTTAAACACTTTATTTTTCTTTTTATATATAATTGTGCTTCAAATAAAGACAAGCATTTCTCTACACCTTATTCTTGTTTAAAAATCATTCACATTATATGAAAGTTATGGAGAGCTATAAAAAGGTGACCTTATGGCGTGAAAAATTTGGGTGCACCTAAAAAAAAAAAGTTAGGCGCACCAGTGCACCCAATGCAAAAAGTTAGTCTGGAGCCCTGAACTGCTCACCTGCTTTTCTAATCAGCTTCCACCAAATGAGATAAAACTAGAGGTCTAGCTTGTGTTTATCGTCCTCTGGGGCAATAATTTTTGTTTGCATTACATGTAAAATGACCTTAAATGGCGCCCACCGTGGTCGACATGTTTGCTTCGCTCTCCCGACGTAACTTTGTTTGTTTATTTTTGTTACTGTGCATCTTACACGCACAGCTTGTGTGTGCGACAGTAAAATACAGCAGGAAAGAACTTCTGGACATTGGAAAAGTTCAACACGAGCTTAAACACCGCCTGTTGGACTTTGACCTTCTCCTACACCTGGACTGGCAGGACACAGCAACACCGGTGCGTCCACGGCGGAGACGAGGCAAGAGAGGGGGTCTACATGCTAGGCTAAAGGCTGGATTTACATGACCACCGCTACCTAGCCTGCTGCTGGCTAATGTCCGCTCTCTTGAAAATAAGATGGACAAGCTGAGAACTAGGACTACAACGTGAGATAAGGGAATGTTGTGCTCTTATTTTCACTGAGACCTGGCTCTCGGACAGCGCACCAAACTCGGCTCTCCTGCTCCACACACACTCCATCAACCGTGGAGATCGTACAGAGGCCTCGAAGAAAACCAGGGAAGGCGGTGTGTGTGTGTACATTAACAACAGATGGTATGGGGATGTGCAGGTTGTTGAAAAGCACTGTTCACCGGACATTGAACTTTTAATGCTAAAGTGCAGACCCTTTTATCTACCGAGGGAGTTCACCGCTGTGTTTCTGCTGGCTGTATACATTCTGCCACGGGCTGATCACGTGACTGCGCTGGGGATGCTACAGGACCTCATCAGCAAGCAGGAGACTGCACACCCAGATGCCGTCTTCATCGTGGATGGTGATTTCAACCACTGCAACCTCAGGAGCGTCCTACCAAAGTACCATCAACACGTGAGCTTCCCTACAAGGGAGAGGTATACTCTCGACCAAGTGTACAGCAACGTGAAGAACGCCTACAAGGCTGTGCCT